GAGATGACACCATCCATCCAAGTCGTCCAGCCAAACTATCGATAACCAAATATAAAACCTTTCCAGTAATGGCAGATGTTTATTGAATGGAAATATTTACATTTTCGTGTGAAAGAGCACAAATACTGGCTTGGCTTCACTTTACCATGACAAATAGTCCAACTAGAGGTGGCGAGGCAAACCATTTCGGGCAGTAAATAAAATACAAAAATAAAGTCTTTTATTTTGAGAGGGTAGCACGTAATAGTCTCTAGACTAGCTTGTGGCCCTCTATATATTCACTCACACTCACTACCTCAACATTCATTATTTTGCTACACGACACTCCTCACAGCTAGTTTTTATGGAGGGAGGAAAACCAGCGGACCTGGAGAAAAACCCTCGGAGCAAGGAAGAGAACCAGCCTACAAACTCAAATCACATATAGTCCCGGACCGGGAATCGAACCAGGACCACAGCGGTGATAGACCGGCGCTTTAACCGCTCGGCCATCCTTGCTCCCCCAATCCTTGCCCCCCCCGGGCAGTCAAACTATTTACTGTTTAAAGTCAACACTACTGGCGGTATCTAAGATCGATCATTCGTACTGGTTGGCTAGAATATCTGTTAGCATTCTATACTCTCGAAAAATGTAAAATTCTGCACAATAATATTAATCTTAAATCTAAGAAAATTACCAATTTAGTATTGACCATATGAAAAACGAGCAGAAGACTGGGAATGACCACCTTAAAACAGCAGGGACATTTGTTGTCGCTGACCGCACGTATATCGCGGGCAACGCATGAAAGTTGACGTTTTTCATAAAAAGGCGGGAATGAAAGACTCTTGAAAATGCCTCACTTTTTGTTCAAGATCAAAAGATATTTGAGAAAATTCTACCAAGAATAGCGAAAGAATGGGGTCTTTTGTTTACAACGTGCTTGTTTTTAAGCGAAAATAATGTCTTATTTGGAAATGAGAGGCGATCTTCCACACAGGACACGAACGGCTGAACATTTTATGAAACCACACCATATCATGAAAAGTCAAATTTCTCAACAGTGAGATCAAAAAAGCCATCCATA